CGGGACCTCACACAAATCGGGATTCATATCAGGGAAGAACCCTAAGCGTGAATCATACCAACTAGACCATCCGGGCCGATTTGTTGACACCCATTCGTGTGCGTTTTTTATCAGGAGAAGGGGTTCTGCTGCCGAGGTTGTCCAATGGGATGCGAGGTTGCGAGTGGATTAGATACCTGCCTAGGTAGGTAGGTACTAATCCGGAGAACTCCTTCCTCATCCTCCTCGCGCTTAGTACACTGTTCATCTGCCCTTGCTAAAAGAAAAGAAAAGAAATTTGGTTATAGACTGTGGTCATATTTCCTGCCTTCTGAGTCTCTCCTGTATTGCAATATGCTGGTCCATCCCTTCTCCAAGGAATCATTACTACCATGTCAGTCGTGTTATTCCTGCTGCATATATCTGCGTGCATATCAAGCCTGGTCCGCATTGGTAATAGGCCCCATCAGCAGCTCAAGAAGCTGGAATCAATCAAAAGGGTCAGTTCAGTATTTTAACGGATATAAAGACAGCTGACTCACCCACTGCTCCAGTCGCGAGTCATTGTCCCTCAGCGTTTTGAATTTCTCATCCAACCGTTCTGTATCATCATTAGCTTCCCTCCTTGTTGAAGCCATGAGTGGAGTAATATTAATACCAGACGTGCAGTACAGGACGTCCTTGAGTTCCGGATCCGAATCGAGGCTTTCTAGGAAGCTCTCTGCTTTTTCATCGGTCCTGATTTGGCTGATCTGGAAGCGGACGACTGGTGGACGTCAGAAATGAAGCCTCTCAAAACCCGCTGGAAACAACTTTCTACGAAACCTACCCTCCGGATCGTATCCATGCTTCCGCAGGATCTTCCCACATTCGAGAATGGCGTCCTTCAGCACAGTCTCCTTCTCGGGCTCGGGTCGGCCGTCGGTCGTGATGGACAAGAGGACTGGCCGCGTGAACGTGTTGGTTTCGAGCGGGCGGTATACGACCTCACTCAGGACTTTGCGTCGCAGGTGCGTCCCGATATCCGTCGCTCCGTCCAGGGGCAGGCCGGACATGATGTTGTCGATGATGTCCACGCTGGGCTTGGAGAAGATCGGCTCCGTCGCCCGGTTGATGAAGCGCAGCTCGATGCCTTCGCCGTCCGATACCACCCGTGTGGTGATGCTGGTGATGCGTTTGACGAGCTCTTTCTGGTGCTCGCCGCGCTGGTCTCTTCTCATTGATGAGCTGTCGTCTGTTTGCGGGTCAGTCAGGATCGATACACACAAAAGGGGGGGGAGGGGGATTGGCTTACCGCAGTATAGAACGGGCTGGTACAGAGCGAGTCTGGTCAGGTCTTTCGGATCGAGCGTGTTTTTCGGGTCCCTATCTAACTCGACAGCCTTTTCCACGACCGTCTCCAGGAATTGGTTGCCCGGGGGGGAAGAATCGATTCAGCTTGGTCTCCTCGATGTAGTCGTTGATGTCCTTCTTGAATTGAGCTACCGGCTGGGGGCGTGCCAGTCTCTGTTGACTTGGTTAGCAGGAGCTTCACAAGGACAGAAAGAGGTGTATAGTTGCAATAGGAGGCGTACCTTTGGAATTCTCGAGTCAAACACGCCGCTCAGTTTGAATCGCTTCTCGATAGCTGCCGCTGCGACAAAGGCCCCGCCGGCGACGGCAACCTTGACGTTCTTGTTGGCCCACGCGACGACGAACAGCACGAAGCCGGTGAGCATGAGAATGACAGGCAGTCGCTTGCTGGCCCTCTGCGCCCGGGGCAGCAGGGCACGCATGCGAGCGCGGTCTTTCCTCTTCGTCGCCACTCCCTCCGCCGTCTTCCCTTTGCGGTTCGCGGCGGTGGGCGATGCGCCGGCGTCGACCAGTGCGCTGATCACGGCCGGGTCCTGGTACGTCTTGACCGCGTTGAGCAGCGGCGTCGAGTCGTCATCGTCCGCGGAGGGTGTTGACGGATCCGCGTTGTACGCGAGAAGCAGCTGGATGATCTTCGATCTTCGATTACGATCCCCTGCCAGTTCGTCTGTACGATCCTCTAGCAATTGCCAATATTTGGAATTATATGAATCTGCTAACCTCTTCCCGATTAGGCAAGCTGTATATAGCGGAGGCGTGGGAAATTACTGAATCTTTCTTTCTACATCTACATATCTCATCGCAGATACCCCTGGCCGAACACGGGTTTCTACCTGATTTATTTTCCATTTTCTGATATACAATGGAGCAGCCAGGCAATCCAGACGCCGCGCAAGACCTGTACGGCCTCGGGGTGCGCGTCGGCGTCTATCTGCAGGCGCTGGGCATGATCCTCTACAACTACGGCGACAAAGAAGACTACGGCAAGGGCCTCAAGGTGGCCTCGGGCAGCATCACGCTCTCTATCCTGGCGTCGTGGTATGTTTTCGCGGCGCGAGCAGTCTTCAGTCCGAGCGAAGCGGTCATCGTCCTGCTCGTCCTCATGAGCGTGTCCTTCCCGGCCAAGATGACCCTTCTGAACCCCCGGACCATCGTCGGCGAGACCATCGGCCTGATCGCCCTGCTGCTCCCCGAGCTGGCGACGTGCGCCGCCCTGGTCTGGACTTTTGCCCGCCTGGTCGACACGCTGCCGGCCCTGCAGACGCCCGGCGTGATGTTCTTCTTCGCGAAGGTGTCCCTCCACGGCTGGTTCCGCTATCTGGCCCTCGTGTACTGCATCATCGACGCCCTCACCTCGCTCTCGTTCGCCTACAAGGGCGCCCGTGTCACCACCATTGCCTGGAACTGTTACAAGGAGGCCCGTAAGGAGACCAGTCAGCAAGAGGAAGAGCAGATCGGCGAGATCATCCGCTGGGACGACCTTGGGACCACGATCCGGCTCCTGCGCTGGCTGATCTGGGTTTTGGAGGTTGTGGCAGTCGAGCTCACCGTGCGGTGGAATCATCTGTCCCCGACATCCGACTTGCAGGCCCCCGGCCAGCTGATCCCCTTGGTGACGGGGGTCATTATCCTGATCGACAGCGCCTTTGTCGCGGGGCGCCGGGTTGCGCCGCACTGGGCAGGGCGGTTCTTCGGGTTCATTGCCGCCGCGGTTGACGGGGTGATTGGGGGTGTCTCCTCTTGCGTTCGGCTCTTTCAGGACAACGTACCCTTGGTTCGCAAGGTGGTGAGACGGAGACTTCATGATAGACAGGTGAAGGGGGAAGAAGAGGAAGCGTTGCCGCCAGCTATTCAAGCCGCGGAGAGAGCTTGAAGGTCGAGCAAAGACGAACTGGCAGGATTTTACAGGAAGGAGCAAGGAATCGATGTTGTCATGACTTGTATTCCAGTACTAGACAGAGACAGCAGCCACATAGCAGGGTTCCGTTATTCCCAACAAAAATTGTTGAACTAATTACGCTTGTCAGCCTTCCAGCCTTGAGAGTCAAGAGTCGAGCGTGCCATGTGCCTACCTTTTCCTTCTTCCCCCTGAGATACTTCCCAAACGAGACCTCCGGCGTGTCCACAGCTCCCAGCTTGATATCCTGCGGTGTGATCTTGGTGGCCTGCATCCGCAATTCGACAAGCTGGCCCAGGGGCCCTCCTTGCTTGTTGTCCAGGACAATCCTAAACATGTCCGGGTTCTTATCCGGTATGATCTGCGGAAAGCAAAAGTCTTGCAGGGTATCAGTCAACGTCACGCCCTGCCTGACGACATCCCACAGCACCCATCGCTTCTTCTTCTTGTCACCGGGCCATCCCGGCGGCGGTCTGAACCGGAAAACGTACAAAGGAGGAGGAGGACTGGTCGAATCCGCCGACGTGGGCGGCGCATACGCGGGCAGGATGTCGAAACTCGTCTCCAGCCCGGCGGCCCCCAGCCGCACCCAGGCATACTCCTGGTCTGGGGGGAACCGGAGATATAAGCCCTCCGGCGGTGCTTGGGGGTTGAAGACCTTGAGCGATTTCTGCGCGTATCCCACCCCGACCCAGCGGAAGATCTCCCCGAGAACGGTCTCGTTGAGCCGGGTTCCTCTGCTTCCTCGACCGCGGCGTTTGGGGCCGTTGTTGCTGGTAGTTGTCAGAAGATCAACTGGGATAGGATTGAAGATAGGAACCTACTGGATAGCCACGGCAGTTTCGTGCCCCTTGTAGGGCATAAACACGGGCGACCCGCTCAGCCCCTGCTGTGTCAGGACATTGTATTCGAGTTGGTCCGCATGGCAGCCGATGCAGCGTCCTGTGTTCGTTATATAGTCAGCTATATCAGTGTGAATTCATCAACAGCAACATCATTATCGTCTTCTTCTTTACCTGCGCTCGTTTCCGGCTGCCCCGGCGTCGAGTCCACCCGGTAGCCGCTGACATCTAGATCGTCGCCCCGGAGATTATCGTGACCGAGCTTGAGAGCGAAGCCGAAGCCGAAGGCGCGGGGGGGAGCCAGCAATACTGCCCCTGGGGACGAGGATCGCTCCGTAGTCATTCGCCGCGTTGGCTTGGCTGGGGTTGCTTCGATAAGACTCCGAGACGAACAACTGCAGGCCTTGGCCTTGGGAGATCGGCGGCCCTCGACCAGCTGGCTGGAGGATCTGCAGGTTCTGCGACATCTTGCCCCTGGAGTCGACGAGGTTGTGGCCCGCCGTGAGGATGACATGGACATCACGGTTCCTGCTGGCCTGGTGGGGGATGTTGACGTAGAAGCCCGTGCCATAGTGTGTTTCTCCGTCTTGCTCGAATTGCAGCTTGACGATCCACTCGTTTCGGTTCTGGACTTGGGAGAATTGCAAGCCCCCATGGGCCTCGGGCTCCGGGAGGCGATCCCAGGCGACGTCGTAGAATTCCGGGTCTAGGACGAAGTCGGGCATGGCCAGACAAATATGGCAGGAATATTACAGTGTAGAGGCAAAGTGGAAGGGTAACGCTTGATGGAGAGATCAGATGGTACAGTACATACCTCTGGAGCTGGGAAGTTCTCCCTCAGCCCTATGTACGAGGCTGGCTGGATCTCGTTGCCATCCGACCCTAATCTGGCCGCATGCATTAGCTGAAAGTTACCGTAAATGTTCATGCAGACAGAAATCGACCCAATGCAACAGAATTCGCCTCTCCTGCGAGCTGTGCATGGACATTGTTGGAAACATCATCACTGGTGCCACGTCGATAGCTGAGCTGAGCTGAGCCCCGCGAGTTCGAGTGAACGAAACCAGCTGCACATGATATATACGGACCAAACGTTGGCTATCCTTTATCACCATATCTGGTAAACACCTCGAACTTCGTTTCTGGTAGCAAACACAATGAGCTTCACCCCGCAGGATCTCGTCCACTATCTCCAAGCCGCCTCGGGCGCCATCCCAGACGACGGAGACCGAAAGGGCATTTACCTAGTTGTGGAAGAGGACAACGATCTGATTGAGAAACTCTGGACGGGGAGTGAGATACGACCAGGTCTTTATCGCGTCGGATGTGAGGAAGGACACGCCGGCGCTGTACCTGTTGAATGAGGATGAGGTGAATAAATCCGATATACATTTGTGTATCTACTGATCTTTCTCCAGCGATGCGTCTTCTGCGTCGACACGAACAACACCCTCAAATGCTACAAGTTCGACGCCGACGAGGATGAGTGGGCCGAAATCCCCCTCCAGGGAGAGCAGGATGATGATGATGACATCGCCATCCACCCCTCCAGCAGACTGAGCGGCTGCTTTGCTGCCTCCTCTTCCTCCTCCTGCGGTGGCGGGGGGTACATGGTCTTCTTCCAGGACCTGGCCGGGCGTCTGCAGGGTGTCAGGATCCAGAACGATGGAAAATGGGAATTCCTCCCTTCCATCCCCGTGCATGTCCATGCGCAGGAGGGGACGCCGCATTCGGTCGTCGTGTCGGATGACCGTGTCTTGCATTTGCTGTACATCCATCATCAGGATGGTCGTATTCATCATTTGACGAAGGGGTTGGAAAGTAGTCGATGGGAGGGTAGGCACATACATACCTTCTTGTTCTTCATCATTGTCTTAGATACTGCTATCTAACAGCTAGGCTGTCCAGACACCCCCCTCCCAGGCCCAAGATTCAACGGCCACGACAAAGTCACCAACTTCATGGCCATCCCAAACGAGGACCTAACATTCGAAATCTGCGCCCTACTATCCCCCTCCGGAAAACCTGATCCGAATCAACAAAGACGGCGCACAGACCGAGTTGGGAAAAGTCCGCCAGGGGGGCAAGTTCGCTGCCGTCTCGAGCGAGGAGTGCGTCATTGAGACGCTGGCATTGATCAGGGATGGGGTGAGGAAGGCTGCGGGGAAGGTTGTTAGGCGGTGAAATAGATCGATCGATCGATAGATACACAGGATGAATGTGTTTGTTGATGAGGGGGTTTTTCTTTTCTTTTCTTTTTATCGCAGCTCTCTCTCTGTTTATTTAAGTAAGTAAGAATCAATCCAATAAAAAGATAAAATGTAGAGAGATAGGAGTTCTATGCTCGATCAAGTAGGTAAAAAAAAGAGCGATTGCAAACCGAGCTTATTTATTACTTACTGGCTCCTAGAGCTGTGCCGGGCGTAATAGCCAAAATAGGTATGTACTGTACAGTACATACATCATGCATACTACCTGTTAGTAATGCTTGTTATTAACAGGGAACTAATAGTGTAAACCATTAAATTGCAGTATCAGGCCTCCTTCCTTCAGATTTGCATTGCATTAATTAATTATATTATATTAGATCCTTTAGATTAGATTAGAATCCCATGTTTCATGACTTCATCTCCTGTTTTATTTCATTCCCTTGCCTTGCCTTCTAGATCTTCTTGATAATTAATAATAACCGATAGGCTATGTATGTACAGGTCCATGACAAGTCTCCGACGACGACTCATCGAACAGACCTTTTTTTTTACCTTGTATAGGCGAATCGGAAATTGGTGAATTGGTGAGATAGACCATCTCGCACGGACAGTGTGTCATGAGCATGACAAATCCATTATTATTTATCCATCATCAACCATTACTTCTAGTTTATGATTTTCTCAGGTATCCAGACCTGTGTATTCGTTCTACTCTGTACAGTGCACAAGAATAGCTGCCTTTCCAAGCCTTCTAATTTACAGACCTAAAGAAATCAGTCACCTGTCTATTCTCCTCCATCCGGCTCGATGTCGCTGCCTCCGCCGTCGTAACCCTCGTCCATCGCATCCGCATTCAGGTTGGTCGTGTCTGCAGACACACCTTGCTTTTCTTGTCCTTTTTCGTATGTTATCGTCCTCCACCCCGCTGGTGAGCTGGGGTCCTTGATGTACTCGGACATGGGGAACTAAACCATAGTTAGCATTATTTCATGAACGTATACGCCAAGGAAACGCACATAATGATCATTCTTCTTCATGGTGACAACCCATGGCACGTTGTCAAACGTAACAGCACGAAGACGGAAATACGTGTTGTCAGGGATCTTGTTCACTTCTCTCACGAAGCTGTCCAGATCCAGCGTCTCCACGCCATTGACCGCCGTAATAAAGTTGGTGGGCGACAAACCGTATTGATAAGCAGGCGAACCACGACTCTGAGAAAAGAGTTAGCAAATCATCACTCAAGACCAAATCCTCACTCAAGCGTAAATGACAATCACATACCCGGGCACTGACGTAGACCTCGCTGTGTAGCTTGGAGATCTGCTGCCGGACAGCATGATGGGGCTTCTGCAACACCGCCCCGCAGAACACGACCGCCCGGTCTGTCTCGAGATCCTCGGTAGGCACCGTCGGAACCTTGACACGCATCTCTTGCCCATTCCGCACGATCAGCGCATCCAGGTATTCATGGTCGTACATGATATCGAATTCGGACACGCGCGTGATCAACTTGCCGTTCAGGGTCAAGATAATGTCCCCCTCCTGTAGAGCATCTGCCTGCGCCGTAAAAGAAGGAGGAGGGCAGTCCACCTTTCGCACCATGAACAGTTGATGTCGAGATGGATTGGCGATGGCCACCTTCTGGATCCATTCCTCGGAGACCCCCATGATCCGAGCCTGACTCATCTGGATCACATAGCTCTCCATGTTCAATATCCGGAGCTTGGGGATGATCCCCTGCTGGATCTTGCTGATGATGGGAAGAAGCGAAGGCGTCGCAAAGCCGAGATGATACTCTACATCCTTGTGCGAGTTCGGAGTCCGCTCGCCAAGATAGTTCAACCACAGGGCTTGGACGACGCCATCCTCCCCCAGTAGGACACCGTTCGTGCACTGGCTGCTAAGGCCTGTATCCACGGTGATGGCATCCAGATTGATTGCGCGATACCGCGGGGCAGAGGCATTGGCCGGAATAGCAACCGTCGTGATGTCGGTGACCGTCGTCTTCGCAACCACGATGCGGAAGTTTTGGTTGAACCCAACAAAAATGGTGTCTTGACCCTGCTTGATATGCTCCGTACTGAGTTGGGCAGTTTTCACCGGTGCCTGCACCAGGCTCGGATCATACTGCACAATGGTGTAGTTCTGCAATGGATGCAAAAACACCACCTTGCCGCTCACGATGATCGAATCAGCGACTGTGATGTTGATGTCACACAGATCATAGGGGACAATGGCTCTGGACACGACTACAAGGCCTTTCTCCGCGTCGATAACCAGACCAAATCCCGTTTTCTTTGCCTGCGGGAAACCGTCCAACTTCAACGGCATCGTGCAGGAGACCCGGACGAAGCTGCGTACGATGTCAGCAGCGGCAGGCTGGCTCACTCCATCCAAGTGAATAAAGTCGGCCTTCCTAGGCACGGGAGGCTCCGCGGGAATAGGATCAGCAATATCGGTAAAATCCCACAAACCCGTCTCGTCATTCCGTTTCGCAAGCCGCATCTTGGGATGCCAATGACGATCAATATACACAATGCTCGTCCCTCGAGTGTGAAGATCTCGAATGTGCTTGTAGGAAATCACGACCCTCGCGCGATCTGCAACAAAAAGTCAGGCCTCCACAAGTATAAGAACACTCCCTTAATATAACTTACCAGGTATCGTTTTCATGACCTCAATAAATTCATCAAGGTTACGGGTGGGTCGTTTATCAACGGAATCGATGATCCATCCCGACAAAGTATTTTCAAGCTTGAATGATCCCGCTGCCTCGCAGACGTACACTCCTCGAACGGCAATGGCATAAAGTCTGGCCTGCTGATAAGAGAGATCGTGGAAGGTCCCTCCAGCTACAGTCACAAAGCGATCGGGAGTGATGGCATGTAAATCGCCAACTCTACACTCTACCTCAATGTCTTGACCGCCACGCTGTACAAGCAGCCGGACAACTTTGCCAACATTTGAGTCAAGGATGTCATCAAGCCTCACAAACTGAGTGAGAAGTTCCCCATTGACCTTCAAAAGCACATCGCCTTCCTGGAGTTTGCCATCAGCGGGACCCTCTGGCAAGACGATCTCTGCAACCAGCATCCCAGTTTCCGTGGGCGCGGCCTTGCGAACGGCAGCCTCCCACTCTGGGGTCAGACCCAGTCGACGACATTCATCGAAAGGTTTCATCAACCACTGCGTCTGAATGGTTCCCCGAGTAACAGGCTCGCCCCTCCGGATGCACTCTAAAGCCCGGAGGGGGCGATCCAAAGGCAAGAAGTAATCCGTGGCGGCACCATCGGCACGACCGCCGGCCTGGAGAGCCACGACGTCGCCATCGATATTGACCACGGGACTTCCAGAACTTCCACCGCTTGCAGCGGCTGCCGCTTGAATGTAGTTTGTGTTGAAATCACTGTAGCCTTCGCCGTACTCGGGAGCATTTCGATCCAGACGACTAATCACACCTGACAGAATGCTCAGCTTCTCTCCAGCATCATTACCGACCACCCTGATTTCTACTCCAACGCGCGCAGCTTCCGGGTTCAGTTTCAGCTCCGTCACCTCCATGTACTTAATGGCCTTGGGATCAAATTTGAGAATTCCGAAGTCGTGGACAGGGTCTCGGTAGATAGGGCGAACATCGCACTGGCAGCAGATATTAGTGCTGAAACACAAATCCAAAAATGATTCAAACTCACTTCCTCATGATTGTCAAAAATACAGTAACCCCAGAAGGGTCCTGCACAGACTACGTGTCTGTTGGTCAGGATATATCCCTTCTCGGCGTCGACGACGAACCCGGTCGCCTGGCTGCACATGGAAAGCTCGGTGTCGAAGGAGCACGTCTGACAGAAGTGTATGGACACGACGCTCTTCACCACCCTTTCGATCGTTGCCTGCCACTCGGGAGAGTCTGCTTGGGTTGGCCCCATGGGCAACATGGGTGTTTCGTCCTCCTCATCTTCGATATCGTAGACGGTGCCGTTGGCAGGAGTGCTGTCTCCGGGGGTCAGGGCAGACGACTCGGGCTTGAGATGCTTCGCTGGCCGATCCGATGCTGCAACGGGACTGCGCTTGCGTTTGGCACGGGTCTCACCGTTCTTCTCCATGCTGAGGGTGGTAGAGAAGAACCGGCGGACGAGTCGGGGGGCGTGGAACCGGAGAGTCTCTTTAGGGAGAGATGACAGGGAGGGGGAGATTCGTATATTTGTGTCCCTCGCGTATCTCTTTACGGAGAGACGTCCGACGTAGCCGAAGTGACGCGAATGTAAATTATTATAAGGATCCTGCAGCTGACGAGAGTATTGTCGCCCGACCCGACCGGAAATCAACTTGGCTTGCAGAGGGCAGCACGAAACCGACAGCGAATTAGGAAGAGATGCGGAGCGAGTGCTGGATCCAGGCAGACCAGTCGTGTTCTTGTGACAATAGTGCGGTGCTGCAAGAGGAGCAAGAGGAGGAGGAGGAGGAGGTGGTGGTGGTGCAGGTGGTAGTCGTAGCAGCGGCGATGCAGCCGGACCAGAAGCTGCAGTAGCAACAGAGGAGCCCCTTCTGCGCACCAGGAGCAGGACAGGGGACATCCACAATACCGCAACACCTCAGGCTCACGGTGCAGCGGTGCTGGAGGTCTTTTGCAACCAGAGTTCCTGTCCGAGAGGGAGGGTGAGGCAGGAGGAGCGCGTGAGCAGGGCGGATCAGTCACCAGAACAGCCGCTGAGGCAAAACTTGCGGGTGCTCCTCCGCCGCAGGTTTCCGCGGGCCATGATTGGGCCACCAGCTCAGCTGCTCCCAACTCCCCTGTCCACACCCACGCTGGCTTACGGATGGGCTTTGATTACGGTGTCTTTGCTCGATTACAAGTCAGCTGCTGGCTGACGTGGGGATGAAAATTATCGCAAGGAACGGTGTGGTGGGATTGGGAACGACCATTTACATTGCGCTGTACCTACACGTGGGATTGACTATCTCGTCTTACACTCGTTTTTCAGTCGATTGGTCGCAAGAAATGAATCTGCAAGAACATGGAAGTAACCGACACGATAGAATTACAATTTTTTGTACTGTACAATAGGTTCCACATGTGCAAGGCGCCAACGGAGAGGATCATCGAGTCCACATCCGCGAGTTCGGCGGCTTATGTCCCGTGGATCGCCTGATATCTAGTCCGTCACGTCTTGTCGTGATTGTTATTGTCCCAACTGCTCATAGTCTCGCTTTTTGTTGATCTTGAAGAGGCACACGGGCCTCTGCTCGGCCTGGAAGAGTGTGCTGCGGCAAATATGCTCCAAGGCTTAGGAGGACGTTCGTATGACCACCTAGAACCACACCTGTCTTTCCTGGCACTGAATTTCCTCCCTCCGATTCCCAAGATCGGGTCTCCGGCTGAAACCGGGGGAGATCGACTTTTGTCGTCTGCTAGGAAGCAGAACGAATCCATCGGCCATGTATAGCATGAAATTTCCACCAGGAAACGGCCATATGATCTTCAATCACACCCCGTTGTCTCCGACCGCTACCGGGCCGGGTCCAGCATTGCCCGGGATGGAACCCTGCTGGGCTGGCCTTTGCTGCTGCTGCTGCTGCTGCTGCTGCTGGTGTTGTTGCTGCTGCTGCTGCTGTTGCTGAGGAGTTGTCGGTGGTCCCCGGTGAGGTCCTGGGAATAGTTCATTCAATTTTGCGTACATCTCGTTCAAGCTGGGCAAGTTGGGCGGAGGGGTCAAGATTGCTGGGGCTGCAGGGATAACTCCACTCGATTTCTTCGCACGGTCCGCAATCGTGGCCAGATACGCCAGGTTCGCCTGAAGGCGACGCATGCATTCAATGTATTCCTGGCTGGGCTTCTGCGCTGGAGGTTTCGACGCGTCGTTCGCGTGGTTCTGGTCCGCCGAAGAGACGGGAGAGGCGGCCTGCTGCTCTTGCGTCGGCGAATTCTGCTGCGAACCCGGAGGCGCAGGGGGACCACCAGCCTTTCCCGCTGCTTGGAGGTTCACGACTTCCTGCAAGAGAGCTGAATTGATATCCAGGAGAGTGGAGATGCGCGCTTTTTCTCGAGCAGCAGCCTGCGCCTGAGCGGCCGCTGACGGCCCTGAGACTTGTGGCTGTTGATTGGACGGTTGCGACGGTCTCTGCTGAGCGGGAAACATGTTGTTCGAATTGGAGAGGGCCGTCATATTCTGGGATGTGGCCGGGACAGCGGTCGTCGGCAGCGTCGAGGGCTCCTGCGAGTGCGACGGCGAGGCAGCTGTTGTCGCCGGGATTGTCGCCGGAGCATAGGGAGAAGGCGCAGACAAAGGCAAGCTGGCGTGGGGACCTGCGGTGGAGAGATCGCTTATCGTTAGTTCCATTGTTCACGCCATACCCAGGTCGGTTCTGAAGCCACGAGGCACGAGGTGGATACAAGGAAGGACAGATCAGAACGTCATGGTGCCACCAGCCCAACCATCCAGGTAGGACCAGATCTGCCACTGCAGCACGGTCCAACCCCAACCAGGCCGTGTGGTCGGACAGAAGCTTGAATGCGTGTGGCTGGTTACGGGGTCGGTGACGTCGACGTAATAATGGGGACCTGGACGTGCCCCGTCCTGGACCTGGGGGCTTGGGGACTGGCGATGACAGGTAGAGGGAGGAATAACGACGACTTACCAGGGTGTTGCTGCGGCATGCTGGACGACATCATGGCCGGCGCAGGGCCGCTGGACTGGACAGGCATGGGATTAAAGGAATGCTGGGGCTGGGGCTGGTGCTGCTGGAGAGGATGAGGGCCCTGGGGGGTTCGTGGCTGGGGATACGAAGACATCGAATTCGGATAAAAAGGCAGCTGCTGTTGGTTACCCGGGCTGGACGCTTGGACAGGATAAGCGGCCGGGGACGACAGCATGGGGTTGCCATGCTGCTGGAGAGCAGGGTAACCGGTGGGGTTGGGATTCATCGTGGCTCTCGAGCGGACAGACAGGCGATCCTGACACGACTACCGGTGACAAGACGAATCGATCAGGCACGGCGCGAGCGGCCGGGCGCGTGGATGGGGGGAATCCAGGGATGGGGACGCGGCTGCGGGGAGCGCGAGGCCACGGGCTTTTGTTGGACAGGCAGCTCAGATCCCTGGGGACGGCCAGGCCAGGAAGATCTCGAGAGAGGCAGCAGAGAAGGCGTGGTGATTGGCCGTTGGGCGTGCTGAAGATATCAGATGAGAGACAGCGTTTGGTTGCGCGGGATGGGGTGTCGAAAGACTTTTTTCTGGCAGAACGGCTGGCTGCGGCCTGCGCGGGCTAATGCAGCGGCCGCCGTTAGCTCTCCGCTAGCCCGGTCATTGGCCAGCCCGCACGCGCGGAACACCGGAGATTATTCCCCACCGAGCTGCTCCTCCTTGTTTGGGCAGGCGTGCCCAACAGGTCGTTCCTTCCTCAGTTAAACAGATGGCTCCTTCCTCAGATACAAACAAAGAAAGCAGCTGCACAGTTACGGACAAAGAAGGGGTCGAATCATGTCGAACTCGCCTCGTGACCTCATGTGATGTGGCTCATTAGTCAGCTGAGTTCTGTGGCTGATTCATCCCGTCTCCAGGCATGGCTTCCCGTTCCTTGGGTAAGCCTGCACTATCATGGCCTGGTGAGAGTGGCTTCGCTTCTGTTCCTTTCCTTTCCTTGTGGCTCCCATGGCACATGATCACTTCGCCAGAACCTTCTTTTGGATGATCTGATTTCAGTCGATTTATAGGAGATTAGCATATATTTGCGACCTCCCTCATCATCTTCTTGCTCTCAGTTCATGTTAACCAATCAATCCAGTCCTCGTCGCTCATCACTTATTAACAGCATCCCGAGTTTCGTATCCATGTATGTACAATGTACAGCAAATGCATGATATCATTACGAAAAAGAAAGTCTGTCCAATACTGGAACAAGTTGGCTCACAACCAGGACTCATGCGCCATCTCATGAGACGTCGGTTCATCACCGGGCAATTCGGGTATTGCATAAGGATAATGGGGAGGTGATTGCAGTACTTGCAATACTTGCATTGGTGGCTTTCCGCGTTGTGGTGATCCAGGGTACTTGGTATTCACAATTACAGGTCGAGTTTCGACGGTCTTCCGTCTCCAACATCGGTCAATAAATAGCCCTGCAGAGAGACCTGCGATGACGGCGACGGCAACAGTAACGCCCACGCCGGCTTTGGCTCCCGTGCTCAAGCCGTCATTCTGGACCCGCGGAGCGGAAGACGTGGTGAAATCGGAGCCACTAGAAGTACTTGTCACTCGAACTGTTGTCGACGTCGTGGACAAAGAGAGGAGGAAGTCGTGGCAGATAAAGTCCTCGAGGTGCTCGCATCTGCAGTAAGATTGAAACTATGGCTCCATGCGGAGGGACGTGTTTGCCCCTGAATAAAAATATCGAGGAAGAACTCCGGTGTGATCGAGAGGTTCATGGTCCCCAGTTGAATCTGCCATGAGAACGACGACAGACCAGATACATTTTCTGGAGGACAACATGCATTAGGGTCTCTGCAGAAAGAAAGAAAATCAGTACACAAAACTCACCAAACACATAGACGTATTCATCGACTGTCGATAGCTGGTGGACCATTCTCATCGCAAGATAATCAGTCTCACTCGAGACCCATTGAATATTCAAGTATGATCCGACAGCCTACACCGGATTGGCTGTGTTGGCATCTGCCGCCGGCGGATTGATAAACTGGAAGGTGGCCTGTCTGCTAACTGTTCACAGCAAAGACCAGATCAGAAGCAGCAAGACACCTCTCAAGCGGCAGTGAACCATCATGATGAGCTAGGACGCCGGAGTCCGAACGAAAAGAACGCGGAGAGGCAAGAAGCAAGACAATCGAATATGAACAGCCGCGGCCTTCTGAACATGAGGAAAGCTGCTTGCTTTAATGGGTTCCCTGCCGAAAAAGAAATGAGCCCCGTTTCATGCCATATTGCATGACTGCGATTTAGTCTAAGCCCGAGATCGTTCTAACCATAGGCGTGGATCTTTTTATGATCTTGCTTGCATGCTCACATTGAACTAATAAGTATAAACCAGCAAGCATCGAAATTGAACTGTCTGATATGGCCAAATAAGACCCTTAAAATAGAAATATTTCTATTTACAGGACTTATGAAATTCCTATTTCAGAATTTTGGAAAATCACCCGGCCCTCATATTGGTCGTTTTCAACCAAAGTCCAGTAATATTTACGCTTTCGAGTTGTTATGCTGACTATGAGACGAGATGCGACACCAACACCTTTTCTTGCCAATCTCCGTGCTTCACGGCCTGCCGGATGTCACTTGTGATCATACTGCCAAAGATGGAGGGAACGATAACCGCGTTGGATGGCTGGATAAAATTACAGTAGCCGCCGAAAAAAAAAGCCCTATATCGAGGCTTGTCCAGGGCTGGGGATCTGATTGGAGAGAGGTACATTGGGCGGTTACAAGTCACGTTTTTGTAGCGGGCTTCGACAGGATGGGCGGCCACGCTTAGGTAGCCGCCTGCTAAGCGCCCGGATTGTCACAGCGGTACTGCATAATTCACAGATTAAGGTGTGTTATTTATGATTCTTTTTCTCGATCCCTGAAACGAATAATGCAGACCCATAAGTTAAAGGAAAGAAGCGATCCCATGGAATGGATTCATACGGATTGCCGTACGATCCTATTATCTATGGTACTTGTACCCCCATGGAGGCGCATACTGCGATCTGGCGGTCACACTCGTCATTATGCAACATCGTCATCGTTCACCTGTGATTCCTCGAATCCTCCTGAGTATAGCTCTCGCTTTCTTCCTCGTTTTTCTTTTCTGTTTGTTTCTGAATCCAATTGGGAGCCAGCGTGTGAAGCTTGTGCATCTGCCAGACCAGCCGTCGCCCGCATCGCAGTCAGACGGTGATCGTCGATGCAATGTATTCCCCAATGCGGCCAACACGCTCATTGTTGTCAAGACGGGCGCCAATGTGATCTATGATAAGTTGCCCATCCAACTCCTCACAGTACTGCGGTGTGCCCGCGACCCCCTCATCTTCTCGGACCTGGCGCAGACCCTGGGGCGCCATCGGGTCTATGATGTTTTGGACAATGTAACCGAAGAGATCAAGAACGGTCCGGAGTTTGACTATGACCGAACTTTGCAGGACTATCAGAAACATGGCCAAGATGTGCAGACACTCCGCGACATCAGCAGTGATGCGGCATGGAGATTGGACCGATACAAGTTTATCCACATGCTTAAGAAGACATGGACGATGCGACCGGATCATGATTGGTATGTCTTTGTGGAGGATGACACATACCTCGTATGGACAAACCTGATGCTCTGGTTGGAACGACTGGATTCATCGGAGCCCCTATATCTCAGATCTCAGGCATACTTCAACAATGAGGCGTTCGCCCATGGAGGCAGCGGAATCTGTCGCGTGCGACCATGGCTCGAGTCCTCGATGAGGACGCCGATATAACAGCGCGATACGACCGGATCGTCCAGAATGAGATCTACGGTGATTATACGCTCATGAAGGCACTTCAAGAGAAAGGCATTCCGCTGAGGCTCTACAAGCCCATGCTTCAAGGAGAGAGGCAGAATACGCTTCGTTTCGGGCCTGGCGGTACATTGGGGAGAGGTACTGGTGCCAGCCCCTGATTACGATGCACCATGTCACTCCAGGTGACGTGAATTCCATCTGGCAATTCGAGCAGCAGCGAGCGGATCCTACAGTTGGTCACCGATTCAATTCTGATATCCCCTCTCCTGAAATGTCTCTGAAAATTCGGAAACTGACGGATCGTTCTTTCCTCGCAGAAACCCCTCCTCATCGCTGATATGTACGAGCACTTCATGGGCCGGGACCTACCATCCGAGCGGGAAGACTGGTACAACTTCTCCGAGGACCTCTTCTTCCGACCCCTAGGTATCCAAGGGAATCGTCAACCGCCGCCCGACGAAATGACTCCGGTCCAAAAGGAGGCTCACCAGTCGTTTGAGCAATGCGGGAAAGCCTGCGACGAGCATCCTCGATGCTTTCAGTACGTCTACGTCTATACTCAGCAGACTTGCGCGTTTTCGTTCTCGTACCGGTTCGGCGAGAGACGCTTGCCGGGCCCGGACGGGACGAGATACCGATCGGGATGGAATCTGTCGAAAATTGCCAGGGACCAGGCAGAGAACGCTTGCGATGCTCCGCAGTGGTCGGGGTTTAATTGAGCTTGTTACGGATAATCTTGGCGTTTTTGATTATATATTCTTTGTTTACTATACCTAATACTATAACTAAAATTACTTAAATTTCAAAGCTAAAGTTGCTATATAGAAACCTCTATGTACAGTTAAGTTAGCAGAGATTTGATGCTTATTTTATACTAAGCCTAACTGAGAAATAGAGATGAATTTAAGAGATTATCAATTTAAGGCTTTTTTAATGACAGTTTAATAGCCCATAGACCCATAGATAATAATTGAGAGTACTCAGAATAGACACAGACTCACAAGGAAGTGGCTACTTTCCTGTCATTCATTTAACTGTTTTAATTCTGCTTTCTGTTGAGGTACTCCATAAATATAGCCAAGACAGGAAGAGTGTTATCGTCATGCATATACCTGCCCAGATAAGGATATTGCAAACACGCAAACAGCCTCAGTGCCAATCGGATGCGGCCATCCATCCCCAGGACGTTGGGCTCGCAGCTCGACCTGCCCCGCTTCTGGAACTTCAGGAGGTCCAGTCTCGATCGACTGCGGAGGTTATGGCTATTTTACCACCCTATCCTGTCCAGTCGACGAGTGCGGACTGCTATCCAAGCACTGCGATATTGACTTGGAAATGTCTTCAGAGAAGCAGCAACTCCCGGTGGTTGTGCTCGCAACGGCAGTCACCGCAGGAGTCGTCCTCCAACCAGTCGTCAAAAACGTCAATGGTGATCTATATCCCTTGTCGATTCTGAGTTGCGTGATTGCAGCCCATTTCCTGGTTGCCTTGGGCCTGCAGCAGACAAGCGATATCAATGGAGATCTCTGGGCTGCGCAACGTCTCGCGTTTTTGGCCACTTCGTGCGCTATCGCCTCTCTTTGGACAAACACTCTCATCTATCGCGTATTTTTCCACCCACTGAGACACTTTCCTGGGCCGTTTGGAGCGAAATTGTCGAAATTCTGGTCTTTGCGCCAGGTGGTCAAGTCCAAGAGCAGGTGGTATCGCGTCTGCGTTGATTTGCATCAGAAGTATGGAGACTACGTGAGAACAGGTATGCTATGCTAAAGAAACGACTGTATGCTTGTCTTATGCACGGTCCAGGCCCCAATGAATTGGTGGTACGTGATCCTGCCGCTCTTGCGCCATTGCTCGGAGTAAGGAACAAGAAGGGCCCGTTTTATGGAGCAACGCAGAAGTCACTGCACACCAACCAGGATCCAGAGTTCCACAAACAACGTCGCAAGATCTGGGATACGGCCTTCAAGCAGGGTGAGAAAATCAATCAGCGTCGCAGACTTGGAGCTAACAAGAGTCGCCTCATCGTAGCTCTCACTGACTACGGCCCTCGCATCGAAGAGTTCACCGACGCACTACTGGCGAGACTTGATCAAGTCACGGGCAAAGAGGTTCTTGTCAACGAGTTCTGCCTGCATTATGTCTACGATGTGATGAGCGGCGTAGGCTTCGGCAGCGCGACGCGATTCATCGAGGGCGAGTCTAGCGATTTCGCCAACACGCTCCTCACGAAGATCCAGAAGGGGATTGCTGCAATCGCATTCCTGGCTCATGTCCCATGGATGCTGACCGTTGCGGAGTCACTGGCCTTTGTCATCGGCGGCCCGATGAAGCTGTTCCAGGTGTGGTCTGTAGAGCAGGTGAAGAAGAGGAGATTGGTAAGTGGACGCTAAATGGACGGGACTGTACTCATTTTTGTTGTGATAATAGATAGCGAACCCGAGACCAGACATCATGGGTCACTTGTTGGAACAGACCCCGGATGACGCAGAGGGCAGGGCGTTGCTCGACGCCGATTCCCGTCTGATAATCGGAGCAGGGAGGTGGGATTTGCTTCTTGATTTACTCAATGGGAACTGACCAGATCGCAGCGATACTACGGGCTCGGCGCTTACCGTGCTCTTCATGTTGCTGGCCTACTACCGTTCCTACCAGGAGAGGGTCCGCGAGGAAGTAGAGCAGTCATATGCCGACAATACATACAGCTGTGCCCGACCTCAAGTTCTACTTGATGCCGTGATCAATGAAGCTTTACGTCTTGCCCCGCCGATTCTCTTTAACCTGCAACGTTACCCTCCCAAGGGCGGCATCACGATTGGCGACGTCTACATCCCCGAAGGCACGGTTTGTTGTATTGGGGCATTCCAACTGCATCATGGTATCTCATGCCAATCCCTTTTTCTTTAAATCACGCTTATCGCCTCAGATGCGCGTAACTTCCCTCAGCCTGACGAGTTTATCCCCGAACGCTGGACGTCGCGTCCTGAGCTGATCACCAACAAAAATGCGTTTGTTCCATTTGCCATGGGTCAGCAATGATACTGCCTCGCGCTCGTATTGTCTAATTTTTTTTTCTAGGCCCGTACATGTGTGCAGGGAAGAGTGTTGCCATGATGGAGATGCGGTCTGTAATCGCCAGAACGGTACAGAGATATGATATCAGCCTCCCGCAAGGGGCGAACTTTGATATTCAAGAGTTCCTCGCGAATATACAGGACCGATTTACCGCCGGTGTTCCGGAACTGAAGCTTGTGTTTACGCTGAGGTGATCGCTCAGAGACGTTCGTGAATGATATTTTGACTTAGCTATAATTTACCTCGGTAGGAAGAGATAGTTGCCTGGAGTCGATGACGATGATGATTATACTTATCAAGGAGGCAGTGTGGTGCCTGATACGGTGCCTGAGTTTACTTTACATGCTGCCGCCTATGGAATCCATGGGACCATCTATATCAGTACCAAACTATTTCTCAGGAGTTATACCTCAATATATGCAGTTATCAAGACTACTGACTGCCATCATATATAAATGAAGAATGGGATCTTTCGTCGTTTCTTATATATGCGGTGTCTCTGTCTTCTGCTACTGTCGAGAACTTCAGATTACCTGCCTTTTAACCAGTTGGACCGGTTATGGGATGCGTGAGATTGACCTGTGTTGTTTCGCTTGCTCCAAGTATAGATAGAGATATCGAACCATGTATCTTGTATGACTTGTATGAATCGTCACAAGCTTGTTGGAGCCTAAAATCTACTACCCTATATATAGAGCTCTTCTCTCTGCACATCCTCCTCCTTCACCATCACTCTTACATGCCACAATCGCTCTCCGAAGAACCATCGTTTATCAACAAAACAATATTTCGAAGTCACACTCGCTCAACTCTCGTCTGCAAACTTTCGTTAAAACCGAATATCCCACTCGCTTCTCCAAACCAGTTTACATACTATTGCAAACTGCAAGCTGATCTGTTGAATCTTCCACCATGGCACGACCCTCGAGGTTCAAAGAACATCTCTCAGAGACGGATCTGCCCGGAGACCGTTCCAAGGAGTCTGCAAAATCCTCCAGCAAGACAACTCGCCGTGCTTTCGATAACATTCTCGGAAACAAGCATCATCTCCTCCCTAGTACTCCCAGGGCCAAACCTCGTTTCAGGAAAAGACTCAAAGACCTATCATCACGGATGAGATCCATGGGCAACAGGTCCATCAGGTCCATCCGCCGGTGGAAATCGTCCACCAAGAAACACATTCAGACACACATCTCTGAAAAGTGCAATAACCTGCATATCCGGCTCCCGAAATCTAGCAGCTTTCCCTCCTTCGACAAGCTAAAATCGGAGAGGCGGCGAGCTGACGTTGGAAACACCCTTACTGCCTATATCTCTGAAAAACACGACGGCTCTCGGACGTCTTCCACTGTCGACAAGACCAAGTCACGACTTCATAACGTTCCCTCGCACAGAAATCGACTGTCTAGATCATCGTCCATGTCGAGTTTGAAGAAAAACACTACCACCAAGCCGAAAGACTCTAAGCATCGCAAATCTAACAACGACCGAACCTCCATCGTCATCAGCAAGACCAAGTCTCCATCGACCCTGCTGTCCTTTTACAAACGACGTCAGCGGGCATATCTATCGAAATCGAAAACCACCACCACTACCACAACCACCACCAAGTCCAAAAACGCTAAACATCGCAAATCCAACGGCTCAAACACGAAAAAAGAAACTACCACAGACCCCGACGTCGAGTTCCTCCAACTCTACATCGAACTCCTCGTGATGCGCAACTTCCCACTCTCACGGTGGGAGATTGGATGCAAAGTCCCGCCCTACGAGAAGGGTCCTCCGCTGGCGCCTATCCCTGAGATGGAGAGCGTTACTACTTCGTACGTTTTCGCTCCCATTCTAGCTATTAAGAGAACTGGCTAATTGATGCGGACAGGTTCGTTCTCACAACTGATGGATCCGACGACGGAAAACATCAACCTAATACTACGACTTCTACGACGACTTCTACGATCCGCACTGCAGCAAAACATAGCAGGAATTTCCAAAGGACGAAGTTTCCTAGACGGTGGAAGTGGACGAGGTAGTTAAACTACCTTTACATATACCCACACCTTTGTTTACAGAAGTACAGTCATGTATATACATGCACATATATAACATACATACACACGCATATATGTTATATACGTGCAAGAGGAGAGTCTCCTACAATGAAGGTTTTTACCCGGATGAAGTACTGAATACTGAAATAGTCACACAAGAACCATCACGGGATGTTTCCATTCGTTTACTTCCTTACTTCCATTTACTTCCAGACCTAAAAAAAAGGACTGGGAAGGAAGAAAGGAAGGAAGGCCCGAATGGGGTAGGGACTCTGTATTACCCTTTTATCTTTCCCCCCCCTTTTCTTTTTGTTTCTTTATTATTCCTGTATGATTTTGGATTTAGGGGTATTACATATATGTACTTTATGTACTTTTTTTTGATGGTATATTATATTATGTGTCTGGCAGAATGGGTATTAGTATTGTTGTATTGGGGTATTCCTCCTGTATGTATTGTACTGTATGTATGTACACTACACAAAACATCCAATTGAACAGCTGCTTGCTGCTTGTTTATCTATCTGTCTATATATCTAGTAGGGGTATGTATATATTATATGCATGTCCTTAGACGAGTTTTTCTGAGTAAGATGGGCTTGAGGGTCGTAGATTTCGTCGAGAGAAGGCCCTCGTTTTCGACTAAAAGGGCAGGACGAAAATTGTGTAGCAGCTTTGCTGCTTTCCAGAGCACTGATTTGGTGGTTTTATACTCAAGTTGTGAGTAGGTGGCCTTGGTCGAGTAGCTGTCACCCTCTAACAGTCTTATTGACGTGTTACGAGAGCAACAGCGGACGTTACGCGGATGAACGGCCACCATTACCGGTGCATGGGCACTCGTCCTCTGCAGGCACTGTCCACCCCACCTGTCTGTCTGTTAAGGACGGTTTGAAGGAATCCTAGACAAGGTCAAAGCAACAAGCTTGGTGTAGTAATTGCAGAATCAGCTCGCCTTCTTCCTAGCCTTGAATTCCTCTATCCACTTCGGCGCTTTCGCCGTTGGAACGACAATGATCTTCACAAGATCGTCGACCACTTCGACCTTGCCGCCGCTCAGGATCTGCAGCAGCGGTATCTTTTTCCCTGCCTTGATGAGGCCACCTGTCGCGGTCTCCATGTAGCAGTCGACGGTCGACAGCTGATACTCTTGCTTGGAATCCCATGGCAGCGGGAACAGATACTCCAGGTGGTCGGCGATCCGGTCCGTCTCCGCAAACGCCTTGATAAAGTCAGACTGCGCGTCCACGGGATAGAGGAACATGGTCGGGAAGACCAGCGTGCTCTCCGGTGACAGCGGATCCGGCGTCAGCTGCACCCGGGCGTCGTCCATATCTGGGGCGTCTTTGGTCTTTCGGACTCGGATCTGGCGTGCCTGAAGCGCCGTGTTCAGCAGCTGTTTCTCCTTGCGTTTACGTTCCTCCTCGGCTCGTTTCTTGGCGGCAATCTCTTCGAGCACTTTCTTTCGCGCAGCGATCTTCGAAGCGACTTGTTGGAGGGATTTGTTGTTCGGCTCAATGCTCAGACCGCGCGAGGCCGCGTCCTCGGCTTCATCGACCTTGTCCAATGCCAGCAGAGCCATGGAAGACCGATAGTAGGCTTTGATATTTTTGGGATTGACTTTGAGGGCCTGGGCACAGTCCAAAGTGGTGGATCGGTAATTTTCTGCACATTGAACAGATTGTTAGCTGAACAGTCCCTCTGTTCCCGCCATATCGTCACGGTGAAGGTCTTACTCAGTTCCAGGTTGCAAAGGGCGCGGTTGATATAACATGCCTCCCGCGCCTCGCGAAGCATTTTCTGCTCCTTCTCCAGGTCCTCTGGCTTGTCCCACTTGTCCTCCTTTGCGTTCAATACGGCAATACCCTTGGTGTAGAATTCCTTGGCATCCTTCCAATTCTTTGCCTTGGCCATTTCATTGCCCTGCTCGCGGAAATTCAAGGCGACTTCGGCACGGGTGCCCTCGTTTTGGAGTGCGCGGATAGCGTCCAGCATGACATTTTCCCCTTCTGTTGTACAGATGCCCGTATTAGCGACCCTAACGGAAAAAAAGACCATGAAATCGAAAGCATTTGCCCAGTATCACGCAGACCAACCTTCATCACCTGCCTTGTCCAAATCCGTCATGAATAGCGGCGTCTTGTTCATCATATCCGCGAGCTCATCAGCCGTGTAGGATCGAACGGACGCCATGGCGGGCGGCAAGTCGGGCGCCATTGGGTCTGCCTGCTTCACTTTTTCCTCGTGGATCGGAAAGGGAACATTATCGGCTGTCATGGATGCCACATCAGCGGCTGCAGAAGCAGCATCTTTGGCGGTTTCATTTTTCGCGGAAGAAGGCGGCTGTTGCTCTGGTTTGTTGAGATTGAGGGACTCGTCAAAGTCGTCGGGGAGTTCCTCGATTTTCCCCATGGCGAACTGTTCGAGAATTAGTATTTACAATGATTAGGTTATAAAAATGTGTTAAGAAGGGAGACAAGGAAATGTAGTGCTCGATAGAGATGCGTCTGTTGCGGAGACGAAAAATGCCCCCGCGGAGCAGTGCAAACAGAGCAAACTGGCGGGACGGCCGATCTGCTAGGGTTAACCCTGACTTCCTCTTTGGGCAGGCGCGTGAGGACCTTGGGGGTGATCAGGCAGACCTCAGTCCTGGACGTCAGAGAGCGAGTTCGAGGAATGCTTGCTCGCTCGGGGCTTGTTCTTTCACCCCTGGTTGCAATTCCGGACTTCATTCCATGTCTTTGAACCCAGAGCTCGTTCTATGCTGGCTAGGTTGCGCTCCTGTGCTTCTACCATGCTGCGATGGTCGACTAGGCACATGTACGACAATTAATTAATTCTCCGGACCCATCCTGAAAGTTCCATGGACAGAATGGACTCGATCGTGGTTAGATTTAGAAACGCGAGGACGTCGTGAAACAATACAGTCGAAGCGGCAAATGTAGGTCCATATCTAGACTGGAATGATTCCAAGCAGTGGACTACAAACCATAATTTGCTTCACCTTATTTGATTATATGCACTGGCTGACCTTCATAGCTGTTGTTGTTGATCGATCAAAAATCGTCTACGGTGCCGTGGGCATGCCGTTCTGCGCCCTATAGATGAACGAATTTCAGACTTCGGTGGATTGATTCATGGCCTGCTGCCATTCGAGACAGTATTTCGGTTACTTCCAGACTGTTTTTGCAGAATTCATTGTCGGAGAGATGAAAGTCAGGATGCATTCCTCCGACAGAATTGGTTTTTGCCCTGGCAGTAATTGCCATTCCTGGTATCCTCTGGATTCCAGAGCCAGGATGCTTGAATGCGACGTGGGGATTGCAAGTGAAAGAGAAGCAGACAAAGAGTGACGGAGTGGTCAGTCAATATTGCGCCATTGTGCCATCTCTTCTAGACATCTCTTTTTGCCATCAATGTCTGACATGCTTCTAGATTATCTTGCATGTGGTTCTATTTGATTATGACCGAGGCTACAGACGAAAAATAGCGGGAATATGCGTGGGTGGTGCGTTGTTCCGGATTCCTGTGTAACGGAGAATCAGTTATCGCCTTCCGGCCTTAGCCAGTCCCGCCAGCGCTATCTATCAATTAGGCTCGGTTATGTGCTGTATCACAAAATGCACTCGCCCGGCTTGCTACTGTTTTCCACGCCTACTCACTGCCTTCTTTTCATCTTGGCTTCATGAATTTCTGTCAAAATTCAGCCTGTTCGTCGAGAAACATTCAACTTCTCTCTAGACGTCTCATGAGCCATGGGCATCCATATGTCTCGCACGAGACGACTGTGGATCGTCATCTGCGTGTCAACGACGTTTTTTCTCGCTGAGATATCAGGTGTGAATCTATACATCACTAGCGACATGACGCTCGATACTAATTCTACTTGCTCTAAGCTGGGTTCTATACGAAATCTCTTGCCCTCGTTGCCGATGCTTTCCATTATGTGCGTCATGAGAATTGTTAAACGGGAGAGCTGTAAGCTTACTTGGCTAGTTGAACGACCTTATCGGTTTCATTGTGGCGCTCGTCGCACTTAGAGTAAGCCGCTGGCAAAAGTTTTGGTGACCACTTATTAATAGCTGGCCAGATATCGAATAAAAAGGATTCACCCCCAGAGTTATCCTTTGGCTGGCAGCGCGCCCAGCTTCTTGGTGCCTTTTTCAACGGGGTCTTCCTCCTGGCTCTAGGAGTTAGCATTTTCCTCCAGTCCATCGAAAGATTCGTCTCTTTGCAACGTATGTTGGTAGCGTGTCTTAGAGGTTCTGCGCTGACGATGAAACAGGGGTCGAGAATCCGAAACTGATTTTCATTGTGGGGTGTGTAGGCCTTGGCCTCAATTTGATCAGTGCCACCTTTTTGCATGGTCCGTTTAGAGAGCTCCAAGTATTATTGACTTGTCACTGATTTCAACCATCAGAGCATGACCACGCAGGGACCACTCTGCCTGCCGGAATTAGTGAAGAAGAGGGAAGCGCGGACGCTACGAATGCAAGTCTTTGTTCTCTTATGTTGATGGATAGCTGCTAATATTTTGCTTTAGCTGTCTCTTCTCGCACACAATAACCATCGACACCACAACATAGCACCAAAACCGAAGAGCTATGATCTTGGGATTCTGGGCGTTCTTCTTCACGTCGTTGGAGATGCAATCAACAATGTCGGGGTGATGATCTCGGCGTTGGTGATCTGGTTCGCCAAGTATGACGGGAGATTCTATGCGGATCCTGCAGTCAGCATGGGAATTGCAGTGATGGTCTTGCTATCATCGCTGCCACTAGGTCAGTCGAACCTTCTCCATGGCTTCTATTCTATCGCTAACCAACCATCATCTATTTAGTGAGAAAATCCGGCGCTATCCTGCTGGAAAGTGTCCCTACCGGCGTCAGTCTCAGCGACGTAAAGTATGATTTGGAGCTGGTATGGAAATCCTCCGGTCAGTTACTTCTGGTCTGTTGCTAAGCGGAGCAGATTCCTGGAGTCATGTCCGTGCATGAGCTGCATGTCTGGCGCCTCAACCAGCAAAAGTCACTCGCTTCCGTCCACATCACGGTTCCCGATTGTAAAATCTCGGAGTTCACTGAGTTTGCCAACACCATCAACGAATGCTTCCACGCGTATGGCATCCATTCTGCCACCGTGCAGCCGGAACTTGCAGCGTCGCCAGATTCAGATTGCACCAGCAATGCGAGTAGACACCGATCTCCCGGGTCTTTCACGTGCCAAATCAGCTGTGGGGCAGTTTGTGAAGAGCTGACCTGCTGTGGGTGAGAAATGTCGATAAATTAATCTCTGTACAGCAAGATCAGTACCTACCTGGAGAGGAGGAAGTAAGCATTCGAGTGTCTAGATGTGAATAGAGGGAGACAGTCACAGAATGGATACATGTACTTAAGGGTCATTATTCAACGGCAGGGCCTCTTTGTCTTGTCAGATTAGATCATTGTAGAAATATCAAGCTAAATTTGATCAGAGTGTACTTACGTCCCTTTCTGATGTGGGGTATAATAATACCCCGCAAAACCAGCAAAACCTTCGGCAAAGTTTCCGATGCCCAGCGATGCCCGGTTCTGTAGACTCGATATTATCCATTTGTGGCCTAATTATCTTCTTCATTCGATCGGAATATTAATTCGGTATCTCTGTTTCTAGATTGAATGCTCTGGAAGCAATTCATGGCATAACTGTGACAGAAAAGTTTCAATGCAGTAAGCCATACCGTCATAGATAGAAGCACGACTAGCATGGCGAAAACATTCAACATCCTCGTCCTCCCCGGCGATGGCATCGGGCCCGAAGTCATGGCCGAGGCCATCAAGGTGCTGCAGGTCTTCAACACCCCGCAGCGCCAGTTCCAGCTCCGCGAGGAGCTCGTCGGCGGCTGCAGCATCGACAAGCACGGCAAGCCCGTGACGGACGAAGTCAAGCAGGCCGCGCTGGACGCGGACGCGGTGCTCTTCGGCGCCGTGGGAGGCCCCAAATGGGACAGTGCGCGTCGGGGCCTGGACGGGCCTGAGGGCGGCCTGTTGCAGGTGCGCAGGACGCTGGATATCTACGCGAATTTGCGCCCTTGTTCGGCCAGTTCGCCTAGTCCGTCCATCGCGAGGGAGTTTAGCCCGTTCCGGGAGAGCGTCATTGAGGGTGTCGATTTCCTCGTTCTGCGAGAGAACTGCGGAGGGGCGTATTTTGGGAGGAAGATTGAGAATGAGGACTATGGTGGGTTTCTTCTGAGACTGGATCATTGGCAATTCTCTTGATAATTAACTGATTGACTCCTGACTCCCTGCAGCAATGGATGAATGGGCCTACTCAGAGGCAGAGATCCAACGTATCGCTCGCCTGGCCGCTCGCCTCGCCCTCCGTCATGACCCTCCCTGGCCCGTCATCTCCCTCGACAAGGCCAACGTCCTGGCCTCGTCGCGTCTCTGGCGGAAGGTGGTCGAGAAGACCCTGACGACTGAGTTTCCCCAGGTCAAGCTCGTGCACCAGCTGGCGGACTCGGCGTCGCTGCTCATGGCGACGAACCCGCGCTCGCTCAACGGCGTGCTTCTCGCGGACAACACCTTTGGCGACATGATTTCCGACCAGGCGGGTTCGATCGTCGGCACTCTGGGTGTCCTGCCCAGTGCCAGTCTGAACGGCCTCCCGGGTGACAATATCCGGCCGCATGCGCTGTATGAACCGACTCATGGGTCTGCGCCGACGTAAGTCATCCATGCACGCCTTGACTAGCGAGAGATAACCAAACTAAGATATTCTACAGCATTGCCGGCAAGAACATCGCCAACCCGGTCGCCATGATCCTCTGTGTGGCTCTGATGTTCCGCTACTCGTTCGACATGGAGGCCGAGGCGAAGCGGATTGAAGACGCGGTTCGGGAGGTACTGGAGTCGGGCATTCGGACGGCCGACTTGGGCGGAAACGCGAGTACGACAGAGGTGGGAGATGCGGTTGTGGCAGTTTTGAAAAAGAAGTCGTCATAAAGTCGCTGCATGGTAGGTAGGTAGGTAGGTAGGTAGATGGATAGGTATCTCGTATCGTTGACTACTTCAAGTAGAGATGAACGGCTAGCATACTGAAGCAAAATTGTCTCTGTTCGTTAATTCCTTCTTTTTTTCTTCTTTTTTTCTCTATGTAAGTCTGAGCCAGAGCTAGTGACCAGTGAAACAGCAAAAAGTTTAGAACAAAAAAAATACACAATGATGTACACAAAGTGCATACCTTTTCTTCATTATCCACTTCTCTTCTATTTTTCTCTCTAGTCCCTTTGTTTGCTATTAAGTGGAACTCGTTTCTCTGTCAAACAGTTATCCCATTCTTTCATCAGGAGAGCCGGAAAAACAAGGCTAGATAGAGAGCCAGGGCCAGATCAGACCAGGTGAGATTTGTGTCAGAATAAGTGTCTGCAGCCGGGTCATGGGATCTACACCTTTATTCATTCATGCAAGGTGAAAAATGAAGGTCAAAGAAAGAGAAAGAGAAAGTGATATCAATCTCCTGGTGTTGTGTTGATATTCTTGACTCACAATTCACGTGCCAGGAGTGGAACAATGAGATGAGCTTGAATGTCTACCAAGAGGCAAGTCAACACACTATTGCACTATATGTATCACAAGCTTCATGTCTTTGAAAGAGACAAAAAAAAGAATCAGCAGCAACAGAGTCAGAAAGAGAACAAAGTATGCAACACTGGAGAATCTATCATGTCGTGTCGTTTCTAATCTGACCTGACCTGATCTCATCTGATCCAACCTTTCTTTTTCTTTGTTGAGCAACATCCATTCCTTTACTAGGTGTTTTTCTTTTCTTTTCTTTCTTTTATTTTTTTGTCTCTGGTCGATCCTCACATGTGCTTCCTGCTGTACTTCGTGGCCTAGATAAAGAGAGTTGGCATTATATAGTCATATTAAAAGGGTTATCTCACTGTCAGTCAGCAAGCTCTTTTTGATTTCTGATTCTCATTCTCTCAAGCAAAGGGCGACTCGTCGCTGGATATTGTGTTCTTTTAACTGCTATCTTCAATAGCAAGCTGATTCTTCTTCTGTCGTTGACTTCACTCTTTACTCTGGCTGCGACGAATAGTTTCTCTGCCCTATCTCAGCAAAGGTAAGTAATATACAGTACATCACAAACTCGAAGTCAGTCTAATATCGATTGAAAGAAATGCCTCCTCGCGAACTCCGCTTCCGCCCCGGGTCTTGCGCCCTCCGTCTCAGCAACATCGAGCGGCTGTCCCCGGATCAGAAGACGGAACTCGTCCGGTCCGTGGCCAACGACATCACCGCCGTGTTCATCTACATCGCCCGGCAGGCGGAAGCCGGCAACCTGACGACGGCCAACACAGAGCCAATCAACGACGTCATCAGCGTCATCCGCGACACGGAGGTGAAGCATCGCCAGAAGCTGGAGGACAAGCTGGCGCGGTACGAGCGCGCCGCGCAACGCCGCCGGAGGGAGCGGCGATGGCTCCGCGTCGAGCTGGGCCGCGTCATCAGACGCACCAAGGTCGCGGCGGCGAGTTGGAAGACAAAGACGGACGAGTTGACGGCGCGGTTGGCGGAGGCGCAGAAGCGGTTGGCTTTTGTGCAGGAGAAGTATGAGCTGTTGCTATCTTCGAAACGACAGGATCATCATCACCAACAGGACGAGAGTGAGAGTGATAAGAAGGATGCTGGAAATGAGAATTCAGTTCATCCCAGCTGCGAGGGGGAGGAGGAGAAGGAGAAGAAGAAGAACGAAGCTGATGTCACCATTGAAGCGCAGTAGGGAGAACCTAGTAGAGGTGGGAATGGGAATGGGAGCAGGAATGGGAGAATCGGGCAGTCTTTTCACATTCTTCGAGATTAATGTTGTTTAGCTTGATAGTCAGGTACCAAAGGTAGTCCCATTAACATCGCTGAATCAATCCGGAATTTCATCTAAGATGCCGTCGGCCAGGAATCGATCTGCAGGCAGAACTCACTACCAGAGAGAGAGGACGAGAGAAAGACAAGTCTAGTAGGAGAAGAATGAAAGCTCTTCATATTCAACGAGGTCTCGGCGTAAGGCTGCCGAGAGCTCAGTGGGGAAATAGATGAAGTCTATCTAGGCATAGAAGATCAATATATTATTGCTCCCTCTGGGGAAGAAAAAGAAGAACTGACTAGGAGCCGGCGTTGAGGTCGGCTCTAAATCTGCGTGGCCGGTTTGGCGGTCACGTGGTAACTGACAGCTGATTGGTCAGACCTGGCAGCTGCCTGAATGCCGTATGGGTCAGGCACCAACACACCCCCCTCAGCGCCAGGGCTGGCCAACAAATTCTACATACATGAAGTCCTTTCCAAAGGTATTTTGACTTGACCAATCCCATTGTTCCGTTTATTCGTCGTTATGGTCGTCAGTTCCATCATCCTTGACGTCCACTTTGTGTAGACCAATCAGATCCTTGAAAATTGTAAACTTCTCGTGACTTAGGGCTTTAGTGAGCCCGTCCGCAGGATTGACATCTCCGTCAACTTGATCGATTTGAATGAGGCCGTTTTTGACAGCATCCTTGACAAAGTAGTATCGATTATCAATCCACCGGTTGACGGAG